GCACTTCGCACGTACGCATCGTCGCGAGGAGCTGAGGAGCCTTATAGTTTTCAGAAATGGAATCATGGTTCGATGACATGGCGATGAGAGGCTCGATGAGTTGGCATCCTAGGTGGCACACACGTAACAGGTCACGTCACTTCGTCCTGCATGGCGGTTGGTCCTGTTGGACGTACGCGTGGCAACTGCATGGCTGGTGACTGTTCAGAATTGGTGAATAGGCATGATGAATGGACACTACATTTCGTGGTTTAATCTGGTCCGTCAGATTATGAAAGAGTGCGATCCAATGGCTAAAACAGATCAGATCAAGTGGTGCACCAATTCATGAAATGTTACACACCCTTTCAAGGAGACACTTCAATCTCTATAAATAGAGACCTCCAAATTCGTTTTTTGGACACCAAAATCAATTAATATATTCTTGATTTCTAAATTCTTCTCGCTCCATATTCTGCTAAAATTCCTTCGATATTTTCGTGATTATTTCGTTCGAGTACGATCATTATTTGGTTCGACCGTCAAGGTAGGTATTGTGCAATATCGACTTTGGGAAAAGCGTTGTATCTTGGGAGACAGACGTCCATAATCCTGTTTGCACGTTGTTGGGGGGCGAAATCTGTCTTAAGGAGATTTGCTTTGGCATACCTCGCTTCATCTTCTTCTTTTTTCGTTTTTCCTATTTTTTTTATTTGTTCTTTCGATTGGGATAGTCGAATTTCCGACAACATAAAATAGTATAGGTTGTTATGGCAATGGTGGCGGCGAAAATAGATAGCAATTTGTTTGTAACACACACTTACATGTCATGGCTGGCATTGGAAACAAATTGCGAAAAATGTATCACACAACATAATGTGTTACAAAATGTAATATAAAAAAATTAACAAGAAAAAAATAGTTCGAGTATAAAAATATTTAAAAAGTTTATTTAGAATTAATAGTATTTTAGTGTATTTGTGAATTGTACCTATAAAAATTTCACCATAATTTTAAAGCCTATAAAATATATTTAAAATAAATGGAAAAGGATGACTATATGATTTCAATACAACATTATGTCCAAGAAAAATCATAAGCGCGGGAAAAATTCACTAGTTTGAGAGAATCTAGTTCATGGGAAAATCAAAATCTCGCCACTACGGAACTTGCACTAATATGGTGGCAGAAACTCGAGCCCTTCTTGATGGTTTACGGTTGTGCAGGGACCTCGACCTTAGGGACATTATTGTTGAAACCAACTCCAATATTGTGGTACAATGGATCCACAAAGGCGCCTGCTCTTTACGGTGGCCGTGGGATTTTTGGGATGAAGTTTTGGAGCTGATCCGAGTACTTAATGCCAAAGTCTAACACGTGTTCAGAGAGGCCAACATGGTAGCCGATCTTCTTGCTAAAAATGGCAGCAGTAGTGTGTCTTCAGAATTATCTTTCGACGACGAGGCTCCGATGCTACTTAAAGGAATTTTACATACGGATAGTTGGGAATTACCATATGTTAGATATTGATTGGTGTGGATTTTTATGGCTTTTTGTAATCTTGGTTTCCCTCCTCCACAAGTGAGGTTTCATTATTAATAAAATTTCGTTGTATGAAAAAAAAAAAAATAATAAGTCCTAAAAATCCAAGAAGATCAAGTTTTTCTCCAGATTAAACCCAAGATCAAGTGCAGTGTCCAAAATTTAAAGATGATTAAGCCTTGAAGTATACAAAGCTTGTTGTGAAAACTGATTTTTCTTTTTCAAATACTGGAAACTGTTGTTCTCTCCACACACACACACACACAAATACTAGAAACTCTTATATTATCTCTACGCGGTAGATTTTTCCTTTTTAAGATTTAGTGGTGGAGAATCGATGACACGCATGTCTCTTGTGTGTTATGGAGAAAGTTCAACTACAACACTATTTTTTATTATTTTCAGATTTATCTGAAGTTCCTATTTTTGGGGCTCTTCATGCTCGACGTCTCAATTCTCATTTTCAATTATAGATAGCTAGATTGAAAGAAACTATGATTGATGGTAGACGAGATTGAAAGAGAATCACAACACGATTGATGGCAGATGAGATTGATGATAATTTTTATTTATTTATTTATTTATTTTTGGAATCGAACAACTACGGACATCTATATTATTAATAAATTATAGTTATGAGGTCCAAATTGTATAATTTCAAAGTAGATAACTTTCTGGATGTATATGACATATATTATTAATTAATTTAATCATCTCTTTAAGTTATAGGGGAAAAAAGCACAACGAATTAATATAATAACTTTCTTTTTTTATTTTTATAAAATGGGACAATATGTCGCACAAAATACTTAAAATCTCAGAGTCGATCCCACCAATAATAAGAATAGAAGATAGGGTTCAGCTTAAGACATGCTTAAATTGGTCTTATATATATATTCGGTTGTTTTTATAGTTAAGTAATCTTAGCCCCCGACAACCATTATTCGAAAAAAATAATATTTTGAACAGTAATTTTTAGGAGAATGTGTTGTTGAAAAGTAAGGAAAATTTTTGAATTTACGTGCATAATATTTTATTATGTGAATCGTAGTTGAAAATGAGTATTTAGAAAAAGAATTTATATACTTGTACATTATGGATGCCTTAATGCACAAGTGGAGGCCCCTCATTGGGGCCTCGACTGACGCGACCCTGTTGGTCAGTCGAGGCCCCAATGAGGGGCCTCCACTTGTGCATTAAGGCATCCATAATGTATAAGTAGCATCTCTTTTAGAAAAAAAAGAGTTCAAATAATGGTTATCTAAATTAGTACAAATTTTTCTCAACATTGACATTTTTGCACTTTTTATGTTATGCTTGTGTAAAATTTGTCGTTGATTTCCTATTTATTCCCAAGATTTGAAAAGGAGCAAATTGATGTTTATAGTTTTACAATCAGTTTTCAACAATAAAAACTATCTAAAACTCATAAAATTAGCGTACGACCCTCAGATGTCCAATTTACAAAACTAGATTATATTTTACAATTTAAGTAAATTTTCAAAAAAAAAAAAAAAAAATTACTAAAATATGTTTTCAAAAACACCACATGAGAATTAAACAAAAATTCCATCGAATTTAATCATTAAGGATTGATTATATAACTATGACAAAAAGTTAGGGACCAAGTTATTACTAAGATAACATGAGAGAATGATGCGATTTTCTCTAATCTTTTTGTCTTACTTTTATTTCAATATTAACAATAAAATCAGTTGTGATTTTTCCCTCTTGACACATGAAACATTTATATAAATATATTATCGAAATTACAATTTTTTATTGAAAAATTAAAATTAAGTCACGACATTGAATATTAGATTTCTTTTACTTTTTTGATTAATTACCAAAAAAGCAATAAATATTAGATGTTTACCGTTTCATTATTTTAATTATTAATGTACTAAAATGTTTTAAGTAACAAACATTTATTAACTACATTTATAAGTGGGAAAATGATTCAAGTACAGGGAATTTTTATCATAATTGGACCAGATTTTTGAATTCAAACTCACATGTAGTGGACCTCATGTATAAAATATTGAAAAAAAAAAAAAATTCCCCCCAAATGTTGTGTGTAGTCTATAGGATTCCTGTACCTCTAGCAAAGTCTATACTCGTTTACTCCAGGTAAATGTCGCCAAAATTCTGTTTCCTCCGCAATAATAATGTATAAAAGGGTCGGTAAAACCGAGACAGATGACATAATAGAAAAACGAGAAGGGAAAACTAAACATATATACAGATGAGGAAGGAGGTGGCTGCGTCGAGGCCTATCATTATTTCAGAATAAAATATTTTGCTCGTAAACAAACTTTTTTTCCTACTCTTTAATCATAAATTCTCCGAAAATTCAATATCCCAAAACTCATTTTCATTGAATAATAGTAGACAAACATATGCTCAATAGAGTATATACGTACATATTTTCTCCATGCATGCATAGGTAAATTGTTTATAATGTGTATAATGTATCCGTGCAAGTTTTTCACATTTGTCCATTGACTTATATAGACTATTCAATATTGATTCTATTGTGACAACATTTATAATTTATATTGAAGATCAATGTTCTTGTGATTAATTCATCTTAGCCCATGTTTGGTCACCATTAAATTTTAATTCATTTTTCTCTATCAACTTATCAACTAAACATTCCATAAATAAAATAATATTACTCATACAAATTCTTCTTACTTTTTGACCACACGTTCTTTAAAAAATACTATTCCAAAATCAATTTTTAAAAAATAATAGAGCTCAAACAAGGGCTTAATATGTTCGTATCTGAGAATAAATTGAATTTTACTCTAGGAGGGTATTTGGCAGGAATTAAAATTAGATTTTTAGTAGATTTTGATAGACGTTTTTGAAATGTGTGGTTGAAAAGTTGTGAAACCCATAAAAGATATGGTTAATATTGATTGTTTGACTTTAATTTGGATTAAAATCAGATTTTAATTCGATCAAACATGGGCTAGATACATTATGTTAGACCCTGTTTGACCTCCTTTCTTAAAGAACGTGGATAATTTTTTTTTTTTTTACATATAATATTATTTTATTGAAAAATATGTAGTTGATAAGAAGGGAGGGAAAAATGAATTATAATTTCAACGGGGCATATGAGACGGAGACATGAACAGACGTCGCATCATCCACCTGTTTGAATAGGGCCTACGTGGCACTGTTTAACGAGAATAATCCTGGTAACATAGACTAGCTTGTTTTTACATTCAAATATCTCTGTATTCTGTTCATTTTACGTCAAAAGTATTACAAAGAGTACAAAACTTATCTGCATAATATTCCTTTCTCAGTTGAACCTCCTTCACAGGGGTCCATTTCTTATATTTTCTTCACGAAAGTCCATTCACCACTAAATTTCCAACTCCAGATTAATTAGTTTATATGTCCTTCATGTGTAGTTTCTTTTCATTGTGGTGCAGGAGTTTAGAAAACTAAAAACAGCCTCAATAATGGATATCTCAGCAGCCTCATGCTTCTCTGAAATGGTAAGAAACTATACGTAAACTGTGAATAGTTTAACCGTGGAAGATTTCCTGTCTCAGTTATCTTCAGTAATATTTGTTATGCTACATTTTAACAAAATAGTTTTACAGGTAATGGACGGTTCGATTTCTGAGGACCAAATTGATTTGTTGGACACTTTTGATGAAGAATTGAATGCTTTTCTTAGAGAAGATTTATCTCCAGGAAACAACTCATCTTCTTCATTAACTCTGATTCCAAGTAGCAGCTCAATGTCAAGTTTGTGTACTTCCCGGGGAATGGAACCACCACCCGAACAGCAAAAGCTTAACAATAATAATGGCTATTGTGCGCCTAACTTTGCTTCTTCTACTCCGATCATTCTCAATTTCTGCAACGCCAATTCTCCTACTAGAAGTTCTCAGCAATATAAACTAAGTTCCTTGAATCCAGAAGAAAAGGTGGCAGTTTCTGAAGCTTTGAGAAACTCTGAAGAGGCTATAAAAACCTCACAAAAAACAAAGAAAAATGGTCGTGTTAGGCCGCCATCTCAACCCTATGATCATATAATTGCAGAAAGAAAACGTCGGGAGGTGCTCAGCCAGCAATTTGTTGCTCTTTCAGCCTTAGTTCCTGGCCTCAAGAAGGTACCATAAGCTTAGTTTCATGGTTTTAATGCTGTCCACTCATTTTCCATGAGATAAGATTTTAGCTTGTTTTGGTCTGTAATACTCCCCGGAATTTGTCTGCGTACTTTACATTATAAAAGCCACAATAAATCAAGATTGATATATCGAGCATAATGGATATTGCAGGTGGATAAAACTTCTGTACTGGGAGATGCGATTAAGTATGTGAAACGCCTTCAAGAGTGCGTGAAGACGTTTGAGGAACGAGCAACAAAACAAACAGTGGAATCTGTGGTGCTTGTTAACAAATCGAAGCTCTCAATGGAAAACGAGGGATCTTTGGACGAGAATGACAGCTCCGAGCTGCCGGAAATAGAAGCTAAAGTTTGCAACAACCACATTTTTCTGAGAATCCACTGTGAGAAGCATAGAGGCATTCTATCCAAAATACTTACTGAGGTAGAGAAGCTCCATCTCTCAATCATCAATGTGACTACTACATCGTTTGGAAGTTTTGCTCTTGATATTAGCGTTAATGCAGAGGTAATGATCTCTAAGATGATAACTATATATATACTTTATTCATGCTTTAAATTATATTTCTTTCGCGGAAATTATTAAATCTTTTTTCATTCGCTCTTTTGAAGATGGAGAAAGAATCCAGCTTGTCGCCGAAAGAAGTTATACGGGCTCTTCGTTTGGCTCTCCAACGTGCTGCATAGAGTGAGATTCCTTGTACAGATTCTGATTTTCAATAATACTATTATGTATGCAGTAACGCTAACGTTTGTAAGATCTAATACTATGTTTGACTTTAAATCAAAACTTCCTATTTGATATACTTCACTAGTTGAGACTCTTGAAGGTTTTCAATTCCATAAATCTCTCTCTTTCCAAGTTGCTTCCTATTTGTATTTTCCTCATATTAAATTAGTTAGAAAATTAAATTAAAAAACCCAAAAATAAAAATAAATATACAAACCCACCTTACCCCACCAAGAATGTTTATCGCCTTAATGATGAATTTTCAAATTCTTTCTGTGTACACGTGATTTTTAAGTTGACATGCACCCCTTTTGTATATAAGCTCTTCGAATTTCATCTCGGGCATTAACATTATAATTCGTAATTGGAGTTCTTAATCCAGGATTCGTACGAAATTATGCTATGAACATCACTTTTAGTCCGAAGATCTAATTCTTCATGAACATCTATTTTCACCAATACATTGCTCTCCACTCGAAAATAAAAATTTTTGTTTAAAATATTTTTCCATGACTGTTGCAAAATCAAAATCAATAGATAGATAAGTATTTAAACTTCAATGAGAAATTCTAATAATCTATTCTAATTAAAAGTTATAATCGTAAATACACAAGCAATTTAATTTCCCGTCGTGGATGGATTGATCGTGAGAATGAAATCCAGACTTCTAATTGGCACTTTTTTCTGTAGCAAATGCAATTTGCTGAAATTATATATTAACTGTTCACAATGTGAATTTCCTGTCGTGGATTGAATGAGTTATGCTACACGTACAAAGTTCAGTTATAAAGTTGGTTGACAAAATAACATCTACACCAATCATTTTAAAAACAGATTTTTAAATAATTTGAAATCAATGGTCTCGATTTTGCTAGCACACTTTGTAACCCAACTTTTGTAACTCAATTTTGTACAAATGACTTTATTGAGATTGGATCGATCAAAATGACTTGTGCAAGCAAACAGGCCAAGTGCACGATGAAGTAGACCAATTTCATTTTGGAAAATCAAAAAGGTGGTGGAAAGAAGCCAATGAAAGAGTCATAATCATAACAATCAGTTTGAAGTAGGCCCAATACGTAAAAACAGTACAAGCATCTTTATTTTCTTAATTTGTAACATCTGAAAAATGCTATTCATCCCCAGTGAGGATGCATTCCCAGTCTATGTTGATGTAAATGATTGGTTAAATGATATGTAAAATTAAATAATTTATTTAATTTTACCTATCATTTAATGTCGCATAGATTGGGGATGCATCCCCAGTGGGAATGAATAACATTTCTCTAAATATATACATACACCCAAATTTTAATTATTAATTTATAGATTACCTTTTATCTACAAACAAACAGAAAAAAACACATTATTTTTCCTTTTCAGAAATCAATTCTTAACTCATGGGACCCACCAAACCAATTATTTAAAAGAAGAATTAAGCCCCTTGGCCCTCCCTCTATTGTGAGGAGATGTCATGCTTGATGTATACTTTTGTGTGTAATGGTTGAAGAAAGAATACCATTAATCCTTCCTTTTTTCAAAAATGACCTCTTAATTCACAGGACCAACACTCACCAACCAATTGTTAATCTATCTATATGTGTCCAAAACCATCAATTTTAGAGGTCCCAAAAGTTTGTACGAAGAGAGTGAAGAGGAGAGCAAGTGGACGAATAAAAAATTAATGATTTTCAAAAATGAAAATAAAAACTGAAAACCTTATCACAAAATTTACTTTAGTAACTTCTAAAATTTTGCACCCGGTTGAAGAATAGAGAAAATCGATCGAGATTGGAGAAGAAGGGTTTATTTGGATTGAATAATAGAGAACAGAGATTGAAAATTGAATGAAGAATTGACAATTTTAAATATGCACTATCTTCTCTAAGAAAAGCGTTCAATTCTTCATCAAAAGTGTGACAATTACATGTTATTAAATGATAGACTCAATTAAATGAGTCACGTGACTTTGTATTTAAATGAATATATCATTTAATGTTATATAATTGTCATATAGACTGGAGCTCAACCTCAGTAAGGATGAATAACATTACTCCAAAAAAAGGGGCAAACAGAGAGCTGGAAAAAAAAAAACAAAAAGAAAAAAATTGCGCATCCACCCTTGTTGGGAAGAAGGCAGGTTCATTCACAAATGTTGATCTGAGTTTCCGGTCAATCTTGTGTGGTCAGTAAGCTAAAATCTTGGCATAACCACTAATGTCCAAGCAGTATAGGACAAAACACAATAAACAATTCAAAAATCTAAAAAGTCATTGGTACCTCGGGTAGGGTCGTGTTCGGGTAGTACCATGACGTTCGAAGTGCTCGAGACAAGCTTCGAAGCGAATTAAGAATCGTGTCAAATGGGTAAACTACTTGAACAATTAGTTGTTGGAACACTTAAAAAAAATTCCAACAACTAGCTTTTGGAGTCCCAATTAGACATGCACTTTGAGGCATGAACTTAATTCGAAAAGCAAAAGAATTGGGTACCAAAACAAAGGTCTTGATACGTACTTTCAAATATACTAACATGTTAAAATCATCAATAACGCTGAACGAATAGGCCATGTATGTCCTGTTCTTGTAGCCAAACTCTAGAGTCATAGATGAGCAGATGGATCATAACAATACCTCAAAGTAGGTTGTCATGTTAGACTAAAAGATGGCAAACTTTTCATTTCTTTGTTTTTCGTCTATCAGTCTCCCTTTATGATTTCATTCAATTAAGACCCCTAACGAACCATAATACTCAATTAGGTCTCTCACAAATTTATCTAAATCCCAATATTTTCTTTATTATCGGATTAAAAAATAAATTATACATACCATGAAATTTAGGAAGTCACTCGCCAAGTTGACTTTGTCTTCTCAATTTACATGTACGGCGCGTCACATTGTCCTATCTTATGCTTGATTGAATGACCACCTTGGCATTTACAAAATGGGGGAAATGGGTTGAACGTCATTACATGATTCATATTTATCTCCTATATAATTTGGAAAACTACATTTGGAAAACTTGCGGGCTGAATTTATTACCAAATTAATTTTGGTACGCGTGATAAATTATTTTGTTTATAAAATTTATTCCATTCTAACTAATTAACTTTGATATCGTGCTGATAATGTATTATAAAAAAATATATATATAGAGAAGTCAATAGATTTTTGTATTTTACTAAGAATCAAAGTTTTATATTTATAGGAAAATATATTGCTACAAGGGATACGACAGTCATAATGACTAAGGTTACAGAGGTATAAAAGTCATTTATAAATATTATTATATTTACAACAATTTTTAACTTTTTTAAAAATAACATTTTAGTTCTCGACTTAGCTTCAAGTAATATTGGAAACTCCAATTCTCTGTTAAATCTTGGCTCAATCCTATTAATTAGTTTTTCCCTTCTAACTTAGAACGGTACCTCAAAAATTTAAAATCAGATGTGTTTCTGCATACTATCACGATCCTCTAAGATCTCAACCGATTGATATTGGCTATGCATGCTCTTTACTCGACTCAATCTTTCACTACGACATTAAAAGAAATAGCTAACTAAGATAATTAGCCAAGCGAGATAGGTCACAAGAGAGTGCTCCCTTGCGTTCCTCGAGAAATTATAAGGGCTACATGACAATTTAATTATAACAAAAATTAAAGAACGAAATTTTTTCATTAGAATAATATTAATTCACCATTACTATCATTGTATGTCCCCATTACTATCATTGTATGTCCCATATAAGTTACGTATTCAACTTTGATGCGCCATAGGAATGCATGTGGCTTATATGATTGCAAATAATTTATTTATCTAACAACAACCACAATAATAATAATTGAAATATTATGTCAAAATAATTCATATAACCAACTTAAAATTATCGAAAATAAGACTTCTTCTTATTCGCCATTGTCTTGTTACTTATTAGCGACATTGACCAAGAATTTTTCTTCCCTTCTCCCTTTCTTTGTTTTTCCTTCTCATTTATCCTCTTCGTCCATGCATTTAGAATAAATAGACATTTTATAATTAAAAACTTATACCAAGAAATGGAATCGGAAGAGCCACTGCTTGAAGAAAGCAGGGAATGTAAAAGGGTATTGACTACATGGGGGGAGTTTGCAAGAGAGCTGAATCGGGTGAATAACATAGCATTTCCGATGATAGTGGTGACGCTTTCTGAGTACATGTTGCGCGTTGTAGCGTTGATGATGTTGGGACATCTTGGGGAACTTGAACTATCCAGCGCTTCAATTGCTACGTCTTTCACAAATGTTACTGGATTCAGTGTCATAGTAAGATCATTTTTCTTGTCTCAACTTCTGGTTCTGACCATGATTGCTACAAGCCATGCGTTTGAATAGTTTACTGATTTGCAATAAATTGTTGAGTATTTGAATTCATTAGATTCAAATCCACCAGCAGCGAATGATGTTTTTCAGATATATTGTGATTTTTCAATCTTGAAAATTGGCGTTTAAGGATACTGCGAGCTTCAGTTATACTCTACAGGGCATGTTGGTCTGCTGACTGATTTACATTGATTTTCTGGCTTTTTGTTTCTGTTCTTTATTACTTTTTTGTGCTCAGGATTTGATATCCGTTTGTTCTAGGATTGAGTGGACACGAGAAGTATTCTTTTATGAGGGAAAATTGGGCAATGAAATGTTTCGCATGACAAGAATCCTTACTAACTAATATATCAACAACTGAACGCTTTGTTTGCTATGAAACCTGTTGAACCACCAGTCTACTTGTAGATTTCTTCAAAAACCAGAGATAAATCAAACTAGAATCTCTGTTTAGGGGCCACTGTAGTACTAGATTCTGAAATTTAAATCTTAAGCCACGCTACTAATTACAGATTAGGAATATTTAGTTAGAGGTGAAGATTAACTTTTTTAATGCTAAAATTAGTTTTTCTTACTCAATTCTCAAATTATATAATATCTTCTCTAAATATTGAATCTTCCTTGCAGTTTGGCATGGCTTGTGCTTTGGAGACTCTATGTGGGCAGGCATACGGAGCAGAGCAATATCTCAGAGTTGGAACTTTTACTTATGGTTCTATAATATGTCTCTTACTGGTGTGTGTACCAATATCTGTATTATGGATATATACAGACAAGCTATTAATATTGATTGGCCAAGACCCTTTAATCTCAGTCGAAGCTGGCAAATTCTCAATGTGGCTCATCCCTTCACTGTTCTCTTATGCTATTCTTCAGTCTCTAGTTCGCTATTTGCAGACTCAGAGTTTGATTCTTCCAATGTTATGGAGTTCACTAGCATCTCTATGCTTCCATTTACCTCTTTGCTGGGCTCTAACATTGAAGTTAAAGCTAGGAAATGCTGGAGCATCCCTTTCTATTTGTTTATCGTATGTGTTGAATGTGATTTTGCTTGGTCTTTATGTGAAGTATTCTTCAACGTGTAAGAAAACCCATGCTTCTTTCTCAAAGGATGTTTTCTTGACTATGAGGGAATTCTTCCAATATGCAATCCCTTCTGCTGTGATGGTTTGGTAATTCCGTCATCTTTTAACTTTTGAAAACTCAGTACCATTTTGCTCATTTTACCTTGTAGACTTATGAACTTCTCTAAGTTCCCGTCATTTTGCAATTCGAATGTGTAGTTTGGAGTGGTGGTCATTTGAGGTAGTGATACTGCTTGGTGGACTGTTGCCAAATCCAGAGCTGGAGACATCTGTGCTATCCATATGGTATGCCTATTTCCTGTACATTTTAGGCATGTTTGTTAAGGCGGATTGGATAGTACGGAACAATATTAAGGCAAAAAAACGAAGTTAAAATCTTGTCAATTATATTGTCCGGTACCCAACATTTTCTTCTCGTTTACAAATTTCAGTGTACGTTTAATTATTTGTTCACTTTTATCTATGTGCAGCTTGACAATTACTTCCTTGCACTATCTGGTGCAATATTCTTTTGGTGCTGCTGCAAGGTTTGATCTTAATCTCTTTACTCTTAACATAACTACGATTTGTATCTTGATCATAACCAGATAATTATGTATGAACTGAAAACAAGATTATTAATATTTTCTTGTAGTACTCGTGTATCGAATGAACTTGGAGCTGGGAAACCACAGGCAGCTCGAGTTGCTGTCATTGCTGTGCTGGTTCTGTCGGTCTCAGAGTTCATTATAGCAAGCATTGTTATATTCTTTTGCCGTTATATATTGGGATATGCATTTAGCAATGAAATGGATGTCGTGGATTACGTCAAAGACATGACTCCTTTTTTTTGCCTCTCCATCATCATGGATAGCCTACAAGCAGTTCTTTCTGGTAATCTTTCCCAAGTTTCTTTATCTAGTTCGAGAATTTATAGTTTTCTTCTGAGATAGTAGCTCTGAAAATTTCAATTTATGACTTCTATAACAAATACAAAAGAGCAAGATAATTTTCCCTTATAGGTCTCTCATCCAGTAAGTCATTTCTTGTTTTCTGCAGGAGTAGCTAGAGGTTGCGGGTGGCAGCATATCGGGGCTTATGTCAATCTTGGATCATATTACATTGTTGGAATTCCTGTGGCGTTACTCCTAGGATTTGTTTTTCACTTTAAAGGGGAGGGTCTTTGGAGTGGACTGGTAGCTGGTGCAGCAGTGCAATCTCTCTTGCTTGCCCTTATAACGTGTCTCACAAATTGGGAAAAACAGGTTTCATTCTAATGTCCCTTCTTCTAATGAAGTTGTTTGTATCTGTCATTGCTACTCTTTTGGCTTCTGGAAAGACTTACCGTGACATGTTTAATAAGGTGGATTAGCCAAAATTGAATAGTATTAAATAAGAAATGGTTAAAATTTTGTCCAATGCACTTGAGGATTAAACAATTTTAGTTTTCTTTTTCTGAACCTTTCTAGAGAGAAATTGGAGCAATAACAGAAAACTATTGCCACTGTGCCAGTGCAAAGTCAGTAAGTAGATTGATTAATTTTTCTTATAAATAGGGAACCGGGTTTATTTATTACATCATCAGCAATAGAAATAAAGGTTAGAGATAATAGGGTGTGAGATTTTACTCTTATAATCTTCTTTTCATCAAAGTGAATTAATGTTATGGAGGACGAGGATGTTGTTTCGCATTGAGACCAACATTTATAAATCTTGTGTTTCTATTTTCTTTCTGCTATTTTATTGCTCTTGGTGATATAGAATTAGAGTTTCTAATTCTCAACATGGCTATTGCAGGCAATGGAAGCGAGGGGGAGAATGTTTGACGGAAAAATTCCAACTCATAACGAACTCATATGAGAGAATGACGAACCTATAGAATCATGATTTCCTTATAGAATAGCATTAAGGGAGCATTATAAATCTTCGAATAACCATTGTTTATCAAAAAGAATCAAGCATTTTGGAGAAGAAAACAGAGACTGTCTGCACATGGGGAGTTGCAAGATCGATAGGTAAAGCATCGCTGTGCAAACGAGACATACCAAGTGGTCGTGGACATCTCAATTTGATCACGTCCTAACAAAAAAATACAAATGTGGTTTAGTACAGTTTCTTCTTGCAGTATCCTATATTGCTTGATTGCAAGATCACCTAAGTATTCACAAAATGGGGATATATATTAAATATCGTTGTATGATTCCTTTTTATCTCTTATATGTTGATATTCTTGTGCTTACTGATAGTTATTTGCCTCATAGTTGAAAATTTTACTTGAATATACTGTTTACAGGAGAGAAATGTTTGACGCCATTATAGTAAGTTTATCTGCTACATTTTGCTAATTTATAAAAGAAATAGTGTGTGTTTGTCCAAGGTTTTGACATTGATTCTGAAGATAAAATTGAGAAGCAACTGCACTTATTCTTGTTGAGAATTAGAAACCTTAATTTTATACCCCCGAGAGCAATAAAATCACATAAATAAATAGACAGATAAGAACATGCAAAATTCATATAGATCCGCTTCAATATGAGACTATGTTTTAATCTGTCGCTGCAGTAATTCGATGTGATAAAAAGAAGTTTACGAAACAAATATCGTACGTCCTTTTTTCCTGTTACCTATCTCTCTTATCTGCGATTATATAAATAAACCCTCATACCAACTTCGCGTAGACACAATAATTAAGCTCCTCATCTTGACAATTTCAACCTAAGAAAAGAGGAAAACTCTAGTTTCCTTTTTGGAGGAAATACCAGTACTTTTAGGTAGTGTTAATATTAAATATAGAAACTTGGCTTTCCTTTCTTCCAAGTTGACAATTAATGACATTCTCAATTCAAATGTAGAGAAAACATGTTAGTTTTATTGTTTAGGAGTGCTAAAGCTGAGAGATAGGAGTAGGGCACTGAATGCGCACTCAAATACAACATCAACTCAAGTTTGGTAAAAGAGGTTTTATCTATCTTGTGCACTAAAAAGCTTCTACTTTCTAGTAGGCTAGGGAAGCTCAAGGATAGCAACCTTTTGTTCTTGTTTGACATCTCGACTTGCTTTCAAAGATTAAAAAATAAACGTATTATTCAAAAGATGAAATTCCAAATTAATTTCGTAAACTCAATCAAATTTCCTTTCACACTTGTTGACCCAAAAAATTGTATCAATGATGTGGC